ACTATTTGCAATAAAGTGATAGGAACAAATGTAGACAGTTTCGCCAAGCAACGATATGTTCAAAAAGCAAGTAATTTTTTTTTTATGCAAGTGATTCCCTTCATATATTTCAATATCCCTTTTAGTGTGTTTAAGAGAAGCTGTTTTTATCAGAAGATCGGACGTAAAGATATCAAGTAGCACTTTCCTCCAAAGGAGTTCAGCAGAAAATTATTCCGCAGATATTCAGTCACCTAAAGCTGGCGCAAAATCCCACGTATTCGACCGATTACAAACAACACCCAAGGATGTTCCGGAGGGCATTAGGACGCCAAAACGGCAACACTCGTCGAGGTTTGATATATCGGACCAGCGCCAGAGAGAATTGGAAAAACTGCCGGGTTTTCATGAAGTTCCTCCGAACCGGCGCCAGGATTTGTTCATGCAAAAGATCGACCAGTGCAATATCATATTCGACTTCAATGACCCAACAGGCGATATGAAATCCAAAGAAATCAAGCGACTGGCCCTGCATGAACTATTAGACTACGTTGCCAACAACAGATCCGTCATCACTGACCCCATGTACCCGCGAGTGGTGGATATGTTTGCCAAAAACCTATTTCGTCCTATTCCCCCGCCAGTGAACCCACAAGGAGACGCGTTTGACCCAGAAGAGGATGAACCTGTTCTTGAGGTTGCGTGGCCTCATATTCAGGTGGTTTATGAATTTTTCTTGAGGTTCATCGAGAGCCAAGATTTCAATACCAACATAGCGAAAGCGTATATTGACCACCAGTTTGTTTTACAAGTATGTTTCGTTTTGTCTATTCCATTCCACCCTTCCGAAACTCAACTTCCCTTCCTCAACGATTGCTAACTCTCTGTGAAGTTACTGGAACTCTTTGATTCCGAAGACCCACGCGAACGAGACTTCCTCAAAACCACACTCCACCGTATCTACGGTAAATTCCTTAACCTACGCTCATACATTCGACGGTCGATCAACAATGTTTTCTTCCAGTTTATGTAC